CCTTTTATAGCAGTCCTGCACTGCCTTGGGCCCAGAGGCTCATTGGTGCAAGTAATAATTTTCTGACCAGCTCATGTCAAATGTGAACCATCCCAGCTAATGGTAGGGCCTGTGCCCTGTTTTCCTGAACTGCTGCCTTTTCATTTCCTTGCTTCTGCCACGTGCTTTCCTACAGGAACGATCATTTCTCAAAGTGCCAGGAGGAGAGCATCAAGCATTTCAGAGCAGGACAGCAGTGGACAAAGAAGGCTTCGATYGAGGGTTGTTGGCATACCAGCTCATTTGTACCAGTGTCATTCCTGTGGACCTCTTTATGGCCAGAAATTGACCCTGCTCTCGTGCTTCTCTCCCACATGCCCAAGGTCTGCACGTGACATGGCACATTCTTTTCCTCTGTTACCTTCATAACTCCTTGATTAACACTCAGTGTTGTACTCAGTTGGGCTTCTGCTGGGAGGGTTTGACCCTCATGCTGTGCTAAGAATACTCTCTGAAAAACTGTGTGATCTCATTGACCTCATCCCACCCCTGGGCACTCCTTGTAGGTCTGCTGTCCCTTCATGGTCCACTTGAGTCCTGTCCTGCCGATGTGAAGGTTCCATGCAGAGTGCACATGTGTCAGCGTGGGTCTGTTGGGCCTTCATCCTGGGGGCATGTGCAGGGCATGGTCTCCCCCGGTTTTTCCTTGAGCCCCAATGTTTTGCCAGCTTCTGTTGCCAGAAGGAGCCAATCTACAGCAGAACAGCCTTCAACCTGGCAGAGCAGTGTCCAAAGCACTCAAATGCAACCTCTTCCTCCTGCACCCTCCATTTTTAGCTCTATGTAAAGCGAGAAAGCTGAAAAATGTCTGCCAATTACTGCAGAAATGTCTGAAAGCACAGACTGTGCATGAAAACTCATTAACATAGAAAGTGAGAAACCTGTGTTTGGGATAGAGAAACCTACCCACTAAAAGGTACCCTCACAAGTCATCCCTCATCGATCCCCTCTGGCGTGATGTTGCTGCTGTCAGGGAGGGGACACATACTCATCCTGTGCAGGACAGTGCCAGATGCACTTGTAAAGCTCAAGTGCAGCCTGATGCTGAGTGGGGCAGTGCTGAGACCTCCCAGAAAATGGGAATTGGCCCCATGTTCATCTGCTGCTCTCTTGCGATGTGAAAGACAGTTGCAGCAACCCAACATAAAGGCTGCATAGCTGAGTGATGCTCCTCCTCTCTGGTGGCCTTGCTGAGATCTTTGCCAGGCAGTTCTGCTGGGAGCCAGGACCAACTCCCTGTTGGATCAGCTTTCAAGATTAGGTCCAGGTGCTTGTAACCTGAGTGAGATGTCCACCCGTGACATATCTGTGGCCATTAGGGTCAACCATGTTCTTGGGGACATCAGGTCCAGTACTGCCAGCTGGGCCAGGGAGGGGATTGTCCTGCTCTGCTCTGCATTAGAACAGCCTTCTCTTGAGTTCTGGGGGTAGTTGGGGCAACACAATGTAAGAAAGATAACAAGCTAATAATCTGCTTTGATTAGCCCGTTGCATGAACATATTGAAAGAGTTGCCACTGAACGAAGGAGAACTTGGAGGCCAAGCAATGAGTGCATGACAACTTTNGCGGACACAGCACTCATTGCAGCTGTTGGCCAGCGGGCAGGGGCCGCAGGGCTGGCAGCAAGGGTTGCAGGAGGGGCGGCAGCAGGACATGGCTCAGCGTCACAGGTGCACCTGGCACAGAGGACAGGGACAAGCACAAAGTGAGGACACATGAGAAGCAGCACTGCCCCCAACCACYCTGCAGCCAAGGCACCTCCTGGCCCACACTGCAGTGCCCAGCTCAGAGCTCAGCAACCACCTGAGCCAAGTCCCAGCCTCTCTCTGCACAAGACCTTCTCTCCCGTGCCCTCTCCTAGCAAAAGTAGCTCTCAGTCCGGGGCTTCAAATGCCCCCTTCAGCTGAGATCTACAGCCAGGAAAGAGCTGCTCTTAGAGCAGGAGAAGAGGCTTCCTACTCACCTGATTCCTAAGGAGAAGGAGGCAAGAGAAGTTGATGAGAGAGCAGAGACTTGGGCTGCCTTTTATAGCAGTCCTGCACTGCTCCAGCCCACGAGGCACGTTGGTGCAAGTAATAATTTTCTGAAAACCTCATGTCAAATGTGAACCATCCCAGCTAATGGTAGGGCCTGTGTCCTGGTTTCCTGAACTGCTGCCTTTTCATTTCCTTGCTTCTGCCACGTGCTTTCCTACAGGAATGGTCATTTCTCAAAGTGCCAGGAGGAGAGCATCAAGCATTTCAGAGCAGGACAGCAGTGGACAAAGCAGGCTTCGATYGAGGGTTGTTGGCATACCAGCTCATTTGTACCTGTGTCATTCCTGTGGACYTCTTTGTGGCCAGAAATMRACCCTGCTCTCGTGCTTCTCTCCCACATGCCYAAGSTCTGCACGTGACATGGCACATTCTTTTCCTCTGTTACCTTCATAACTCCYYGATTMACACTCAGTGTTGTACTCAGBTGGGCTTCTGCTGGGAGGGTTTGACCCTCATGCTGTGCTAAGAGTACTCTCTGAAAAACTGTGTGATCTCATTGACCTCATCCCACCCCTGGGCACTCCTTGTAGGTCTTCTGTCCCTCCATGGTCCACTTGAGTCCTGTCCTGCCGATGTGAAGGTTCCAATGCAGAGTGCACGTGTGTCAGCCTGGGCTTGTAGGACCTTCATCCTTGGAGCATGTGCAGGGCATGGTCTCCCCCGGTTTGTCCTTGAGCCCCAAAGTGTTGCCAGCTCCTGTTGCCAGAAGGAGCCAATCTACAGCAGAACAGCCTTAACCTGGCAGAGCAGTGTCCAAAGCACTCAAATGCAACCTCTTCCTCCTGCACCATCCATTTTTAGCTCTRTGTAAAKRGAGAAAGCTGAAAAATGTCTGCCAATTACTGCAGAAAGGTCTGAAAGCACAGACTGTGCATGAGAACTCATTAACATAGAAAGTGTGGAACCTGTGTTTGGGACAGAGAAACCTTCCCACTAAAAGGTACCCCCACAAGTCATYYCTCATYGATCCCYTCTGGCGTGATGTTGCTGGTGTCAGGGAGSRGACACAGGCTCCTCCTGTGCAGGCCRKTGCCAGATGCACTTGYAAAACTCAAGTGCAGCCTGATGCTGAGTGGGRCAGAGCTGAGAYMTCCCAGWAAAWGGGAAWTGGCCMCKTGTTCATCTGGTSCTCTCTTGAGAYATGTAGGACAGSTGSACCAACCMAACATAAAGGCTGCATAGCTGAGTGATGCTCCWTCTCTCTGGTGGCTTTGCTGACATCTTTGCCAGGYRGTTCTGCTGGGAGCCAGGASCAACTCCSTGTTGGATCAGCTTCCATGATTAGGTCCAGGTGCTTGTAACCTGAGTGAGATGTCCACCCGTGACATATCTGTGGCCATTAGGGCCAACCATGTTCTTGGGGACATMAGGTCCAGTACTGCCAGCTGGGCCAGGGAGGGGATTGTYCTGCTCTGCTMTGCATTAGAACAGCCTYCTCTTGAGTTCTGGGGGTAGTTTGGGGCAACACAATGTAAGAAAGATAWYAAGCTAATAATCTGCTTTGGTTAGACTGGTGCATGAACATATTGAAAGAGTTGCCACAGAACGAAGGAGAAYTTGGAGGCCRAGGCWTGAGTGYACAACAACRTTAATGAGTCTGAGRAAGGAAAGSAGGTGGCTCACAGAGAAYACCAGGGCCAGCCACTAAGATGCAGTGGAGGTCCTGYRGGGTGTCCACCTTCCTGCCATGGAGMGGGAGAGAGAGCCACTAGACTTTCCTGGGGAGACCCAGAGAGCTGGAGGTAAGAAAGAGGAGAGGTGAAGAAGGAAACAATGATTGGTAGCTCTGTCATGTCCCCTCACGTGGCTGAACTTGGGTGGGAGGGCAAGAAAACAAGAGCAGTGCCCACTTCCTGCCAACTTTGCCTCAAACAATGCACTCAGAAATGATCCAAGAGAACATCACCTGCCTGGCGGGAACGGCAACGGCCATCGATCTGAGACTCCAGCCTCAAAAATCCTTGGACCTCTCATCCCAGCATTTATGGAAGGAGATCTTCATATAGGAGAGCACATGGCAGAAACCAGCAAATGAAAATGTAGCAATGCAGGATACTAGGACACAGGCCCTACCATTAACTTGGATAGTTCATATTTTAGGTGAGCTGGTCAGAAAGTTATTATTTCCACCAACAAGCCTCTGGGCCTGAGGCAGTGCTGGAGTCCTATAAAAGGCAGCCCAAGTCTCTGCTCTCTCAACCACTTCTCTTGCCTCCTTCTCGTCAGGAATCAGGTGAGTAGGAAGCCTCTTCTATTCCTTCTTCTCCTCCTTATCCTCGTGCTTCAAGAGAAGCGTAAGCCTGGCTGTAGATCTCAGCTGAAAGGGGCATTAGGAGCCCAGTGTTGGGAGCTGCTTGTGCTGGGAGAGGGCAGAGGAGAGAAGGTCTAGTGAAGAGAGAGCCTGGGACTTGGCTCAGGCGGCTGCTGGGCTCTGAGCTGGGCACTGCAGTGTGGGCCAGGAGGTGCCTTGGCTGCAGGGTGGTTGGGGGCAGTGCTGCTTCTCATGTGTCCTCACTTTGTGCTTGTCCCTGTCCTCTGTGCCAGGTGCACCTGTGACCCCGAGCCATGTCCTGCTGCCCACCCTCCTGCCAGCCCTGCGGCCCCTGCCCGCTGGCCAACAGCTGCAATGAGTGCTGTGTCCGCCAGTGCCAGAGCTCCAATGTGGCCATTGAGCCGCCTGCTGTGCTGGTGACCCTGCCTGGCCCCATCCTCAGCTCCTTCCCTCAGAACACCGTGGTGGGATCTTCTACCTCTGCTGCCGTTGGCAGCATCCTCAGCTGTGGTGGAGTGCCCATCAGCTCTGGGGGCTTTGACCTCTCCTGCATCACCAACTGCTATGGTGGCAGCAGGTGCCGTCCCTGCTAAATCCACTGCAACATCCTTGGGCAAGGTTCTCTAAGATCCCCGAACCTGGTTCCGGGTAGAGAGTGAGCTTTGGGACATTGTATTTAGTGTCTGAGCTATTGTTCCCTTCTTCTACTCTTCCCTTTCTTTATTTGCTCTCCATGTCTCCCCAGGCCAGTCTAGTGGGATCATGTTGACCTCCCTCCCTCTTTCGGATGGACACATGGACACTCTGCAGGAGCCCCACTGCATTTTAGTGTCTGCTTCTGGTCATGTCCATGAGCCACCTCTTATTCTACCTTCCATTCATTAAAGTTGTGCATCCAAGCCTTGGCCTCTGAGTCTCCCTTCTTTCTGTGGCAACTCTTCCAGTCTCCTCGGGGTAAATGCTGGAGGGGCCGAGGCTGGGAATCTGTAGTGGATTTTCCATTGTAATTTTTCCTTTTATCGCTGATAAAGAACATTCCTGGTTACTCCACAGTCAATGGCAAACAGGGAAACCATGGCTCGAAAGGGTGGCAGTGATGGGGGAGGGAAACAGCATCCTCTGGGAGCAACCCCCAGCCTCAATCATTCCTTGTCCTCCCCTGCATTACCCGGTCCAGGGTCCATGAGCTTGTCTTGGTTTGAAAGACAGGTGTTTGCCAATGAAGTCATGGACCCCCCTTGCAGTGGTGGATGTGACCCCCCTTCCCTCCGAAGTATTATAGCTTTGAAAAAAATCACGGGCTTTCAGGCAAGAATATGGGTTAAAGGGAATAACAGTTTTTACTAGTACGTAGAGCAAGGTGAAACAAGTAACAATAACAATTGCAAGATCCAGCCCAGTCCCAAACCCAGGGACAGCCTTACAGAGACATAGCCTCCCCTTTGGTGCAGTTACAGTCCCAGTTGGCACGGATGCTGTTGGCTCCCTGCCGAGCAGGGCGGGTGCTGCAATTCTCTGGCGGCTGCAGGGGACGCAGTGGCGCGGGTCCCGTCTGGCTCAGATCTCCCGAGGTGCCAAGGATTGACACAAAATGGCAGATGTGGATGGAGAAAAGTTTCTCTGCAAAACTCACAGCAGAAATGCCGATCTCGGTGCTCCTCTGGACAGCAAGAAACCCAGGACGGCAAAGAGACGAGCAGAAATCCCGCGGCTGTGAAACGGGGTGGAGCAGAGCTCTGCCCTGAAGCTGGAATCCCTGGCAAGGCACAGGAAAGAAAACCACGGTGCAGCAAGCAGGAACCCAATGAGCAGGGGTGTTGGTCTCTGCAGAAAAAGGGCAGGCCAGCTTTCTCCAGAGCAGCCAGTGAGCAGACTCCTTCTCTAAGCGAAGCAGCGAAAACAACTCCAAATCCGCCCTCAGCACACAAAAACACTCTCCAGGCACTTGACAAGACCGTTAAGGTGGGGCATAGGTATCACTGTCTTTGTTAATCACCCAGCCATCAAAAGGATGACCCGGCAACTAGTGTATCCCAGCAACAAATGGGAAAGAAAAAATTCCCAAAGAACGGGAACTAAATGAGAACAATTTTAACACACAACAGAGCTGTAGATGTAGCCAAAGGCAGATGATTTAGGAACCTCACAGAGGTCTGAGGAACTGTGGGTCCCACCCTCAAGGTGCAGAAAACACACTTGGTTCATAAATGCTCACAGACAAAAGAAATGGCAGAAGTCAAAGGGTCTGTGAACGATCAGAAATCGTTATTAGTAAATTACAAACTTGGTGTGGAATTTGCTATGTTGTACAAGTCCCAGACCTCCTGTATGAGCACATGTCAGTGGGTGTTGGATTAAGGGGCTTGGTGAATGGGATGAGAGAAGTTAAAGGAGAAAAGATGAATTAATGAGGGAAAGAGAGAAAGAAAGCAAGAAAGAGAAAGAAAAGGAAGGTAAAGTGACAAACAGAGAAAAAACCAAGTCCTGGTACCAGCATAAAACCAGTTGATGGGATGTCAGTCCTGGTTTACAGCAACCACCCAGCTATGACAGTCCAGTCCATTGGATGTCCAAGGTCTTGAGGACAATGCCCAGACTGAGGGGGTACGTTTTTATGGATAGGTTTCTCTGTCCCAAAAACAGATTTCAATTTA